CAAACGAATCCTCGGCTATTAAACCATTGCGGGAAATGCATGGGAAAATGCGTGGGAAAATCTCACATGTTGAAGTACTTTAAAAATGGCTTTAAGAATTCGTGATGAAGACATACCAGTAAAATCTGCGCATTGGATGAACAAATCGAGTAGGGCAAAAACGTTTGACCTAACTTATGTAGTTAACGAGATGTATGCTCTTGGAAAAATGATCAAATGATCAATTTCACCTGAAGCAAAAGATAAGACCCTAACTTAGGATTCCCTTTACCAAACGGTTCCTTGTTCTGCGGGCATCTTTTTGTGTTGCACTTGTCAAAATCTTCCAAATATTCCTTTTAAAAGCAAAGACCTTTTTCAAAATGTATATTATCAAGTTTCTTGAACGCTGCTTCCCCAAAAGCGTTTTTATCATGCTCAAGTTACGTTCCCACATTTCATGTGTTATTGGCAATTCTTTTCAAATGCGCTATTGTCCCTCTCTTGACACAGCACGTTTCTAAAAGTGTTTAAATAATCATATGCTTAGATTTTGTTAGTTTGATCTTTTCTGGACGCCTTATTATACGAGCCATATGCAAAAATTTGGTATTGTCATAAAGCCTAGGACTCTGGCTTTGTAATGACATCAAAAAATTTACCAAAATTTAAAAAGGAAAATTTGTTCTTTTCCCTGTGTTAAATGAGGTAGGAAGGTGTAAAGTTTTGTGGTGACGCCATTTTCCCATGTATATATTTCAAATTTGCTATACGAGTAGAGAGGATCTTAATATATGCACCGCAGAAACCTGGTCGATGCAGCTTTGACGATGGGCGAGGTACACGCCGTCAAACACCACCTGTGCACTACCGTCACCTTGATGGGATTTTTTCCAAGTGCCGCGCGTAACGCTACGGGGGAAACTACCTCCATATAATCATATATGGTGTCTTTAAAACTCAAGATATTGTACTGTCGTAAGCGGCATACTGTAGAAAATAAACAGACACATTTTTATGTCCTCAAAAGTTCCCAGTTCTAGTGCTAAATATGTCAAAAAATACTCTTCCCGATTTAAGTCTATATAATTGGAATACAAACTTATCTGACATAAAATGATGCTCATCATAAAATTTGCTGTTAAATTGCGTATAGGATGAGATGGTTAAAGTTTTGATGTGTAGTGAAATTGCGGTCAAAAAATGTGCGTACAATTTTCAAAAAAAAGAACTTTATTCTTTAATTTGGTTAATTTCTTCATGGAATCTGTTAGCGGGGACTCAGAGCTATGTATTGGTACCAAAAATATGTCTTTGGCTCATTTGGTTACGAAGTCACGGTATGCCACACACTTAGACCTGTGAAAAGCTGGCTGAATACGTTTTCCACGTGTTATGGGTAACGCTATGGTGATAAAATGGGTAAAACCTGCTTTACTTAAACCTCTGTATCTCATAGCCCTTTCATTCAAATAATGTTCTGAAAACGGCACTAGAAATAAAATGACACATTCTACTGTTTATCTAAGTAACTTATCCACCTCAACGATAAATAAAAGCGCCAAACTTGATACACAGTATCACATATAAATTTTCCGGAATTCACAGATTATTTACACGCGTTTTGTGAGAAAACTACGCGTCGGGGGAGGAAAAAGCAATACATCACTTCGATGTAAAATTTTAAGGTGCATCTAACACTTTCGTTGATTTTTCGAGTTTTGGAAAAAAACGTGTAGTTCATTATTTTTTGGAGATTTGTACGTTTTAAAAGACACGTTATCAACCGACCTGAAATCTAAGTGCAGATTTGAGCTCAACGCATCAAGATATACTAGAAACAATGTTTCAACTTACTTCATAACTTTTTTGGGTTTTTGACCCTAGCTCGACCAAATTTCGACGGATTTCAAAATTTAAAAAAATAGAAGATGTGTCTCGACGCGGGACATCGTTCTTTTTGAAGCCAGTAAATCCGTCGAAAAGTATTTTCACAGTACTAATGTGAGTTAAGGTATCGAAGTGTGTTGAAAACAAGAGCTCATAATAGGTGAACGGAGATATAGGATTGTATGCACTTGCCGATTTCGGCCCCCCAAATATTTTTCCTGGGGGTTAACCGAACTTTGAAGGGGTGTCTAGGGCCTAACTAAGCGAGTTATTGAACGTGTCAAAAGATGGGAAGTCTGACTTAGCGGGAAAATAATAAAGAGATGAAATGATTTTTGACCAAAATGACTTTTTTGAAAAAAATCCCACTCAAAAAGCTTTTGAGATGGGGTTTTGAGTATAAATGAAGTTGTAGAGAATTGATGGGGCTACATTTTTCTAGGTTGGTTCATGACCCCAGGTCAACAGGAAGTGATTTCAAATGACCCCGGAAAACGAGGATATATTTGCCGCATTGCCTTTCTGGACGAGGATACATTTCGCGCATAAAGGGATACATTTGCCGCAATGGTTTAAGTTTGAACAAATAAGAACAGAATGGCACTATGCGTTCCTTCCGGCATAAATCGTTGTCACTCGTGACACCGAGCATTTTCACATAGGATAAAGGAAATAGTGTGTCACCGACAAAGTCCAGGCAAAAGGATGCAGTCATTTCGAAAGAGTTGGATGCGCTTGTAAGAATGACGACTGTTTTGGTTGGGTTTATCGTAAGGAAATTAGCGGTGAAATAGGATTTGACCGTCTGCAAGTTTTCTTCATGCCGGGATTTAATGCTACCTGGCTGGTCAGGGTGACGAGAGCCAAGAAATTGAGCCTCGTCAGCAGATGGTACCAAAGGACCACGTGGGAGGTGGGCAGGATGATCCTTTGTGCCAAGATCCTAGCAGGAAAAGCGCCGAATGTAGCCTTGTGAGACGCGATGGAATAGGCAGAGGGAGAAGGAGCCGCTTCTCATTTTTGCTTCCGGTCAGCAAGGTAGCTAGGTTCCGGTCAAGTGGGGCTGACGCCGTGCCATTGTAGCATGCGTAGCATAGTTCATTCATCGGCAATATTTTCAAACACACGCTTAAAGCAGCCCACGTGACCACAACGAGGTGGCCTTTGTCAACTGGATGGGCGATCCATACCACCATGTCAACCAGAGCATCTTGCGTCGATTGGCCGGGTCTTCAAGTGAGGTTGATAAAGCATTGTTGGTAACGAGATAAGGGGACTGCATGCATACACACGACTTTTTCATGTATTTTGGCTGCGCCGGCAAAATGGGAGATGTCTTAATTTGCTAGCTGTAATGACCCACATTTGTGAAAAGGGAGAACAGGTGTCACTTTCCAACAATGCGAGGACAAGCCTAACACGATAGACGAGTTGATAACATGACGATAATGAGGCCCGGAAACTGAAATCCTAGATGACAGCAAGGGAGTTGCGGTGACGTAATGGAATGAAGCTCCAATCGTTTGCTGGGGCGTACAGTGGTCTGGGTGGGAGGGGGGGGGGGGGGGGGGCGGCCTCTCAGGCGCTCCACGGCCAGCCCATCGGCGACGCATGGACCGACAGATGCAAACTGTTGGTCTGCGCCATCGACCTTGTCAGGTGATGGCCATTTGGCAGCTGTCGGATCAGTCCTGAAGTAACCTCGTCAGCTCGGTGTTCGTTTCCATTGCAGCGTTTTTCATTCCGCGCAAAGTCCGTGGGCAAGATGGTCCTGTTTGCTCTTGTTAATTGCTGAACCGAAGCTTACATTTTCAACTTAAAAATGCGATTACAAAAATTCAGTTCGGTCCATTGTATGTATAGGCGGTGGGAAGATTAATGTAATCCACAGCATCTCAGTAACGGTCGTCTGTTAATTCTATCCTAATAGCGCAGCGACCTTCTTCACCACATCAGCAGAGCCAATTCCTCTACAGTTCACTCCAGTAGCCTGATTAGGCCAAAAACGGCACTAGAATGTCTGTATTGCAAACTAATCTTCAGAAGCCACAAACACTACTGACGTCGCAGCTTGCCCCGAGGAGCGTGTCGTCACGAGGGCTTATGATTAAGCGATGAGTGAGAGCAGATCGTCGGATCCACGGATCGGAAAGGGGACCTTCCGCCCCGTAGGCGATTACGTCGGCTCCGACGTCGAGCGAGCGGGCTCATCTCGTATGACCGAATAAGCACGACGCAAACCGGCCGGTATTCGACCAGGGCACGTACCTCTCATCCCATCAGCGATGAAAGGGACCGAAATGAAGCTCATAACTCTGGTTTACGAGGTCAGATAGCTTTCTCTGATAGTGGTTGACTTACGCCCGTCTTAGGCAGGGCGGGTCGACTAACGGGTGCCGCGTCAGAGGCGTGGCGACGGTCGGTACAAACACTGAGTCCACAGTCATCACAGCCGGTTACCATGCGAGGCTGCGTGGTCACACAGAGCGGAGGGAGGTAAGTTCCCAGTGGGCTGTCATTCAGACAGGTCTCCGAGAGGTGGTTCTCAATTTGTGCGTCCTTGCAAGTTTGTGACCACTGATTAGACGTAGTGATTTATTACCGATTGACGATCTTGTGACGGAAGCCGGGTTTCAGTTGCCAGGAGTGTGCCTTGTCGGGGCAAACACCACGTCTGGTGAGTGCGGTCAGGAGCCTGGGCATTTCTCCGCGTGTTAGCGACGGGTATGTACCCTTAAGAACAAAACGAACTTCGGGACCCCTCCCTAACCGACAGCTCAGTTCCTACAGCATTCTCTCTCCTACAACCACAGACTATAGTCAACACGCCGTTCAGCCTTAACAGTGTCAACGGGTCGCTGCACATGTCAGCCCGAGGTAACGGAAGACCTGCCTCTGTTCTCACTGACCGATGGGTACGCTAAACGGTTTAACACAACCGCTTGGACGACAAATCACTGGATGGTTCAAGCACCGCTTCAGTGGCTGGCTGTGGTCGGACAGTACGGCACGTCCACCGGGGAGACTGACACCTCTCCAGCGCCTGATTCCAGTAGTCAGACACCGATATTAAGTACGATTGTAGCACACTTTGATCTTGTGCTAGCCATGCAGAAGCGCTCACTGCAGTTTCGTAAGCTTTATTGATATTTCAAAGGTAAAGACACAACCAAGCTATGCTCGAGGATAAAACATGCCAGATCAGACAAGGGCGGGGGGGGGGGGGGGGGAGAAAATGAAACTAACTGAAAAGCTCTTCACCAGCGGCACTTCCATGTCCACAGTACACAACATATAAAGTGCACACGGTGCATCTTAAACCTAACCCAAAGAGGTGATCAACACATGTAAGCGCTGCATCAGTAACGTACAGCCATTAGAACATGCCATCAGTTACAGGGCTCAGCACAAAGTGACTGCTAGCAGCCAACAATACGCTACTTGCTGTTGTCCTTTGCGCAACTGCTCATGAAAGACGACATCTGGTCAACTTGATGTTCTTCGTGCCGTCAGTGTGAACCAGAACCGGCACCAAGGTATCCCGGACGGAGTACCAACAGCCCCGCTACCACGCCCTCACCATCCCGTCGGGGGAACACATTCGCTGCCTTGTCCTTCTCCCTACACACGCCGCGCATATCACCCTGAAGATGGCTCCCGGCCACGAGCACGTCTCCCCGCCTCCCCTATCTCAGAGCCCGACGTCGGCCTCACTCGAACGCTGGCGCCTGGGCGCCGCACTCCGCGCACACCACGATCAGCTGTCCGGCCGTCTGCGTGAAGAACAGCTCGGCCTCGCCGCAAAAGGCCTCGTGGCGCGCGACGGCCGCCAGCAGCTGCGCGCGCACGCGGTCCAGGTCGGTGCAGGGCGTGCACACATCCAGCCCGCAGCGGCAGGTCAGCCGCAGGTCGGCGCTCAGGTCGGCGGCCGTCGTCTGGCAGAGCGGACACGCCAGCCGCTCGCTGAGGAGGTCCTCCGCCGCCTCCGAGAGGGTCAGGTCAGCCTCGGCGGCGCTACACTCCCGCAGCAAGCGCTCCGTCTCTGCCGACGTGAGGTCAGGTCAGGTTAGGTCAGGTCATTTCCAGATACATTGTGTGGAGCTGGAAATATATATGGGGAGTTGATGCGCCCGAAAACGTCTTTATCGGATACGCTTCGCCACACTTTTAGCGCTCTTCGTTTCCCCTACGCAACACTCGAGCCAACCCCAACAAGTGCTCAACTCTGGTCAGCCTCCCACCTTAGTTCAACAGTCGCTTTCAGCTCTAGTCGCCGACACCCCATCCCACTTCCCTCCGCATGGGCGTCCTCTCCTCCGCCTACCCTCGGCGATGATCTCGCGCTCTAGCTGCTCCCACTCGGCCAGCATGAGGTCCTGGTCTGAGGCGGCGGCTGGGGCGCCCGGCAGGCCGCCCGCGTCGGTGGCGTCCACCCCGCGCAGACGGCTCAGCAGCCGGTGGCGCCCCTCACGCAGTCGCTCCCGCAGTCGCTGGTGGTGGAACGTCAGTCAAAGGATGTTTGATCGTCATCGGTCAGCCCTGGGTAGCAACCCTGAAATATTATAATTCCAGATGGTGGATGATAGTGCGCTGCTGGGAGACTTCTTGGACACAAAGGACAGCAAACTGTTTATGGATCATCTCCAAACGCAAGCAGGAACAGTTTTATTAGATTGACATGTCTGCCTGGAAGGAATTCAATGATCATCCATTTTTGGGAGTGATCAATTTCTTATTAATTCAAAATGTGAGATGTTCTTCATGATGAGACCTTAGGTAGATTGAACAGGAATTCAGGCTTAGTGGGCCAACAAATTCAAGCAGACTTTAATAGACTGGACTTTGGAAAACATTGTGTGGTGTTTAGCATACCTGTTTGTGAAGCTCCCTCCAAGGTGGGGTTCCTTTTTTATACATAGCTCTTCTCATGTTCTCTCGAGCACTTGAAAAGTGTGATTCTGGAGAAGCCTGTGACTGAAGAGTGCTGGGAGAAAACATGATTGCTGCAATACAAACATCCTGCTTAATCACAAGACAGTCAGCACATAATATTAAACATGACTTTCAGATGCTGACTGGCCACTCAAAATAATCACACCATAACAGTGGGCTTAAAAAAACAGAGTGGTCTGCTTCACTGATAACTTTGGAAACAGCCTGATTAGGGTATTGATCTATTATCAGGGACAATAGTTTGAGCTCCTTATTTGAGCCTCTCATTAGTCATCAATCACAGCGGCGCTTGAGGGATCTCTTTTACCAGCTATTTTAGTATTTCCAGGGCTTGCATTTGCAGCTTAGTTCATTGGACAAATAATTTATTTTATATTGATATACTTTGTCACAGTCATCACCAACATAGTATTGGCAATCCATGGAGTAGCTAGGATTTCATACCAGGAGGGGCCAAAGCTGACAAAAGGGACTTTCTGCGTAGGCACAGCCAAGGGGAGGGGCTGTTGCGTGGACCTCCCAAGTTCCAAATCCTGCATTTTTCATGTAGCACTACAGATGGCTTCTGATTGACATTGGCATTGCCATGCCACGCATGCCCTTGCCAAGCATCAATGGCAAATTCTCTGATGATTTAGAAGAAATACAGGGAACTCAAATACCAAAAAAAGCAATTGGCCTTTGACTCCCAAGAAGCCCAACAACTTCCATGCTGGTCTGCAAGAAGATGATCCACTGCCCCAGACAGTTGCATAGCATCAGAACACTGAGCCTGGTGCATGCATGTGCTTAACTCATGCCAAGCCAAAATTAACTAAATTTTTAGGTGATTTCCCCCCCCCAAGTTACACAGGCATATTTCAGTCTCAACTGACCATCACAAAATCTTGATTTCATGCACTGGCTCTCCATGCATTGAAAAAGTGGTGGCCATGTGCCAAACTACTGAGTATTCAGTACAATGCACATATACTGCAATTACTGTCAGGATGCTGGTAAATGAACATGGGGAATATTAATTTTAAGCAGTCTGACCTCAAGACAGGTTAAGCCACAAAAAGCCATGAGACCTGAGTAAAAAAATTCTGAGATTTTACCATGTCACCAATGACAATGTTTCATTAGTCAGAAATCAGACACTAAAATGTGTCAACCTTTCCAAGAGATCAGCTACAGAAACACATTGGCCATCATCAAACATTAAGCACCTCTCCTGAAAGGAACGTTTCAACTGTTTTCGGAAGGAACACAGACATGAGCACCATGTGCACATCAACACAGAGCTGCTTAGTTTGGAAGGATGACATGCTTTTGTCAAAATGGTTGCTTGCTGGCATTGCCTGGGGAATATTTGTATCTTTGGCGATCAGTACTGCTTTGGTTACAGCAGGGTGTACAAACACGTTGTTACAGCATGAAGCAAAGTGGGAATATGACAGTGCTCCATGTCTTTAAGACATCCCTGGGGTCCAAAAACAGGTTGGTCAGCTAACAATGTCCAGCCTCTCCATTGGAAAATAAGATACTGCTGGTCACTCCAACCCCATTGACCTGCAACAAAACCCAATCAGGCAATGCAGCCCACCTGACCCAGCTGCAAGAATAGATCATACCACCTGAACCATCTGAACCGTCCAACCTGCGAATTGTCAATCCGCTCTCGCGCATCAACCTTTCACAACCACCGCTGGGCTGCCTGGGACCGTGGCTATGGTAACAGTGAGTGTGTGTGTGGTTGGGGCTTTACGACGCACTCAGCTGCTGAGGCTATATGGCGTCGCCTGCCTCTCACCCTGGCAGGAAGGGCGGGCACCGCGGGGAACCGAACCCCGTACCTCCGGTTTCCCAAACGCGCAGCAGCCAACGCAGACGCGCTATGGCAACAGTGAATGCAAGAAGAAACAGGCTTGTTGTTCGTCATGCTTGCGTAATATTTGTCTGGCAGTTTAGTACCAAATTGGCGGGATTCGCGGTTTAGTGCTCCCAAATTTAAGGGTTTTACTGTACCCGCCACTGCCTTGCCTTCGGCCTGCTTTCGAAAATGCATGGCCAAGTAACGATTTGGCTACGATTACGGTATTTTTAACAATTTACCGATATTTCATGACAAGTTTAAAGTGGTGTGGCGGTGTGGTATATGCTTCACTAACACTCATGAATCATGCTGGCGAACGTAGTACTTACGTACTTGCGTACCCTTCCCACTACCTTCTAGATTTCCGGAGAAAAAGTCGAATGAAAACTTGAATGGAAAAAGTCGAACGAAAAAGGTTTGACATAACTAGCCGACAAAGATACAAATGCTAAAAATACACACGCGGAGAGCTTTACGTGTTACATTCTCGGATCAGAGAAGGTCCAAAGGGATTAAAGTCAACAGTGGTAAAGGTTGTCAAAAAACTGCAAATGGCGAAAGTCGACAGGAATAAGACCTGCATGGAAAAAATCGTAAGGGATGCAACTCAGATTGGAAGCCAATGAAATAGACAAGAATTGTGATGAATACACGTTGATTTGATAAAAATAAACGCTCAGTAAACACACAGTCAAGCTCAGACGGCGGTGCTTACCGCAGTATCGCTCGGCACGGCTATAAAAGGTGACACGTAAAACTCTCCGTAGTCCCCTGTGGTAAAAAGGCGGAGGCAAAATGATCTGTTGAAGTGAACAATATAACCTGGTTGGTGGTGGCAGGGGATGTGCAGCATCGTATGCTTAGCTGGCACCCTGAACATAAAGCCACCCATGCAAACATTTCGAAATCGATGTATTCGAATAGAGGATTTAAGGAAGAGTCCTAATGATTTGACACTTAGCATGAAAGGGGATGTTGCCGGCTGCATCCAGATGCGCCCACGGATTCACTGGGTACCGCTACCTTGCATCTATTCGTTCACCGAAAGGCCAGCAAAAGAGCGATGGGACGAGGGTTTCATGCCGGCAGCAGCGTTCCTACATACTGTTCGAAACCGACAGTAGGTGAATGCTTCTGTAGACCATGGAGCGTTTCACAATTGAAGATATTAAAGCCAGCACCAGATATTGTGAAATAATCTTACTTTTGGCCGTTGGTATATTTTTAATTAACAAGTTACCTCTAGACAACATGACTTCTCTGCTAAGTTTTTAGAGCTTGTTGAGAACCAGACCGCTATATCTGGAAATCGTGCTCATGAACGCCGGATATGACCGATTCGACAATTGCGGTTTTCTTGGAATCGACCGCTGCATGGCTAATGGAATGGTAAAATCTGAATATCGTTATTATGGCGTCATGGAACCCGGTGTGACCTTGAAATGGCACCCCACAAATAGTCTGCACACATTTGCGGGCGTTTAGCTCAGAAACTAAGAGGTTAGGTCTTAAAACAGTAGCAGTGAACTGCACCGAATGATCTTTAAGATGGCTATTTCAGCTAAAACCCCAACTGTGAGGCGCACCCTTTAAGATCATAGGGTCAAGGTCTGTCTATGGGCGCCTGAATCCGCAGAAGCTATCGATTCTCCCATCCTGTCGCGCTTTTGACATTTCTGCAATTTGTCTTTCAATAAGTAACAATGCTGAGGTCAGCGTTATAATCTACGACACAAATGCTTGCGTCGATTGCACTACCAAATTGATCAAGGACTTATCAAAATTAAGCTTTGTGGTACACTTGTTCTTGACTTGAGAAACTCATGCAAGATTGGTCGCGTCTATTTGTGTCATAGATTGTACATTTTCTGTGTATCTTTTTAGTGTCGTAGATTGTAGTTCTAAGTTGTACATTTTTTCTTTCAGAAACTGAATTATACGATTATACGCAAAAAACGTACGATTTAAGCCAAAAATCTGCGAACTTATATTTTGAGAAACTGACTACTGGTCGCCGCATCGCTGTCCGTCTGCTGACGCTAGTGTCCCTGATTGGTGGCCGAGGGACCATCAGCTGCTGATATGTGTATGGCAAGTCTTTTGACTTTTTCGACCTTTCGTTTTGGGAGATAATATTAGAATCTTTGGCTTAACTGCATCCGTCGTAAATTTTACCTTAAAGGACTGCTTGGAGTTTTGAAACTCGTCCTGTCAAAACCAGACGTCTGACCAAGCTGTCCACATATATCATGTCCTGACCTGACCTGACCTGACCTATATATCTGACCAAGCTGTCCACATCAATATACCATGAATCCAGATCAAGATTGCCTCGGTAGTCCGTCGCGCAACCGTTCGACGGGACGTGGACGTGGACGGGATAAGGTGACGTGTAGTCTGACGTCACCTCCAGGTTCCCTCCCATTGGTCGTATGCCTGCGAGATGAACTGTCTGAACCGATGTATGGTCGCTCCGATTTCGGCCGCGGGAAGGAAGGTCTAACCAGGTGACAGCCTCTACCCCTGTAAGGCCAAAGGTTTGTATGACGGTTTACGGCCAAAATAATCATTTCCTGCCCTATTTATGCTGGATTTCTTTCGAAAATTTCGTGACAAGCCAACGCGGTAAACTTTGCAATATCATGTGATCGAGATGCTCGTGGTTTATTCCCTGACCGACATAAAAAGGACTTGACATCACGTAGGTATTTCTTAGGATTCCATTAAACTATGTTCTTAAAAAGATCGCTTTCCGGACGTCATGCGTATGATGTAAGCACACCCTGGTTACATCGATTGTTGTCTGATCATCTGATCATCGACCTCATCCGTTGCCCCGCCGCGTGTCTGGCAGCGATCACTCGGGCTATGTCACGTCCAGCAAGTCCATTGCGATGTGATTTATGTATCTCTGGCCATATCGCCGCAATGTATTGGGATGACCTCACAATCCTGACAAGACAAATCGATGATAGGTACACCGCATCAAGTGCACGTGTCTCACATCCAATCCTGATGGACTGAAGCAGTCGCCAAAGTTGTTTATTTCCGATTATCGATCACAGCCAGAAAGGTAGTCAGGCAGCCAGCATGCATTGCCTTTTTTCATGTCTTGAGGTTTGCTACCCTCCGCTTGGTCCTCCTCCCTGATGTTCCTCCCCCCGTGTCCGCCACTGGTCCTCAGTGGCCTGTTGTTCCGCCGCGTTTCTGGCGATGATCACTCGAACTATGCTTCGGTCAGGGTACTCCTGCCTACAAGCAACGGCATCACGTGTTTTCTGCCGATCTCTTGCGCTCCCTCGCACTCTTTCTCGCCTTACCACGCGCCCTCGACCGCTTGCTCGCGCCTTTGCTCGCTCTCTCAGTCTCTCACTCTCCCGCACCTCAGGAACTTTTGCACCAGCAGGCTGCAATGCAACTGACCTAGGACTGGCACTACTCGGCACATTTGGCAGTCTGTGATCGTCGTGCTCCCGCGGCAGTATCTGTCCCGCCGTTGCCGTTTCTCGTCCGTTCACAACACCCTCCCGTGTCACCGTCCGCGTGCGTCCCCTCTCTCTCGGGATCACCGGCCGCTCCGCGTCACCTCCGCCCTGCTGCATCAGTGTGCTGTAGAGCACGCCGGACCCCCTCTGCGCCGACCGCCCGACATCGCCACCCCCTCCCCGCGGCAACGCCGCACTGCTTTGTTGTCCGTCTCCGTCGGTCTCCCGCACTCTCGTCGCTCCGCCTCCGTCGGTCTCCCGCATTCTCGTCGCTCCGCCTCCGTCGGTCTCCCGCACTCTCGTCCCTCCAGCTCCGTCAGTCTCCCGCACTCTCGTCCCTTCCGCTCCGTCGGTCCCTCGCACTTTCGTCTCTCCACCTCCGTCGGTCTCTCGCATTTTTGGCACTTCAACACCGTCGGTCTCTCGCACACTCGTCCCTCCGCCTCCATCGGTCTTTCGCATTCCTGTCACTTCGACACTGTCGGTCTCTCGCACTCTAGTCACTCTGCCTCCGTCGATCTCTCGCCCTGTTGTTTCTTTGCCTTCGACCTCCCCGCTCCCGCCGTCTCGCGCCCGCCCCTCGCCCTCACCGCTCCGCTCCACAGCGTTTTCACCGCGTTCCACTGACGGCCGCTCACCGCCACTACGCGCCTCCCCCGTCTGCCTGCAATCCTCTGCACGCGCGCCGGTCCTCTCGCTCCCTTCCAGCGCCACGCGCCGCCCGGCCACTTCCTCCTCCCAGCCGAGGAGTGTGTCCCCCCGACGGCGGTTGAGGCTCTCGACGCAATACCGACAGCAGCCGCTGCACGAACCAGGCGTGCCCGTACCGCACGTGTCCGTGCCGCAAGTGCCGCCGTACCGCGACACCATGGTGACGTTGTCGCTGGTGCGCAGGACCGGCGACGGCTGCCGGGAGTCCCAGCCGCTGTCCCAGGACGAGTAGCAGGAGCAGGGCGAGCTAGCGGCCGGGCCGACGCCGTGGCGCTTCACCTCCGCCGCCGGCCCGGGCGCGACGGTGCTGCCTACCGAGCGCGGCTGGCGGCGGGCAGGGAGCCGCTTCGCAGGCGAGGTCCGGCAGGTGGCGTCGCCCCGTGTCGGGCAGGAGCAGCACAAGTAGCCCGGCCAGTACAGAGAGGCTGCCACACACGAGCGGAGATACCCAGTCTGCGGTGACCTCTTCCTGGGAAAGGATGTACGATATCAGGCCTCGGATATCAGTGTTATAATTTCGTTCAGCTGCTTCGACGAGTAATTTTGAAATTCTGAAGCGATGCATAGAACATTACTCGGCATATTTGTACTCGGAGGGGTACCGGTAGTGTGGTGGATTGGCTGCGCGTCTGGAAAACCTAAGGTGCCGGTTCGATACCTTACGGTGTCCGCTCTTCCTGCCAAGGTGAGAGGCAGGCGAAGCCATATTGCCTCAGCAGCTGAGTGTTTCGTAAAGTATCAATGGCCACCATCGGCATGCCTCGTAAGTGATAATGAAGTCATCAAAGTTCGGACTTTTATCCAAACGTTACAATAC